TAAAGAATAGGACGGGGAGGAGTGTAGTACCGTATGGTAAAGGTTCCGGAAGTTAACGAAGTCTGACGAGCTTACCGGAAGGAGTAGTTTTCGAGCATACCGGAACTAGTGAGGCAGTCCGGAACTGATAGCTGAGACGCCATATTGATTGTGTAATTGAGCTGTTGTTATCTGGCAGATTCTGTGCAACTACAGACCATCCAAGGAAGGTAATTGCTTTGATTGTATTTACAACCCTTTGTAATCAATCTGCATAAGTTCTATAGACAGCACAACAGAAAATATTTTTCATATCACTTAAAATTGAAACTTATTGACCTGCGCTTAATATGTAATATGAAATTAGGCAAAGCCTATGAACGGGGAAATCGTTAAAAAATTCCTTTCTTTCTTTCCGTTTTAAAATTGTCATTCGGTATTACATGCACCGCTTCCCTTTTCACTCGGAACACTCGACGTTTATTATTTATCCGAAAAATTGAGATTTGTTCTGTTATTGGAATACCCCGCCTTTTATCATTGAGTCACATTGTAAATGGTGGCCCCCGACTAGAACTGACACTGAAAAATTCATTGATAGGTATAGAATTTTATATATTTTTTAATTGTTTTTTATTTGATTTACTTTTAAATATACACATGTAGTCTCCTGTACGAAATGTTACGCCCGGAATTGGGGCGGAATTTCGGCACGGATTACGCCCAGAAAGTTAAAATTCCTTTAAAATTTTTAGTATATGATAAGGGTTCATTTTACGGGCGGATTCTGGGCGGAAATGGCACGGAATTTGGCACGAAATATGTAAATGAGCAGGAAAAAATTCCATGCGGAATTTTGAACGGAATTTTAGGCACGGAACTCTTGGCACGGATTCTGGGTGGAAATGGCATGGAATTTGGCACGAAATATGTAAATGAGCAGGAAAAATGTCCGTGCGGAAAACTGGCACGGAATCTGGGCACGGAATCTTAGCACGGAATTTTGGCACGGAATTTTGGCATGGAATAATCAGAGCAAAATTCAATAAACAGTTGTTTTTTTTATTGTATTTAATTTAATTAATGATGACCATTTTGTCATGTACTTTGGACCATTGATAATTAAATAACTGGCTAAACAATTGTATTTAGACTATCTTAATTAAAGATATGCATCTAAAACTATAGTTTATATGTAATAATTAATTCAAAATTCATGTAGTAAACTTCTCTATAAGCTTATGAGTAAACACACATGTATTTTTATATGATTATTCTCTTAAAATCACATCTAATTGTATTTCAATAATCCAAGTTAAGATATGAAAATTATCACAGTTTGTTTTTCTTCACAAATAAAAGATATGCTTTTTGTCTACATACAGAATACATCCTACATTAACTTCAAGTGTCACAAACAGCTTTTTTATTGTGCAAGTATCTGTACATGACTTTTGTAGGTACTGCTGCTTTCTTTGATCACCTTGATTTCAACTATTATGTTGTCTGTCACAAACCAAAACTTTCTTTCAAACTGATTATCAAAACCACAATGTTTCCTCATTATGTCAGCTAACGTCCTGTGCAAATGTTTCCTATAGGCACATCTTGTAGTTGCGTTCACCTTTAAGGACAAAAATAACAATTGATTTAAAAAGAATGGAAACAAATTCTGTTCTATGGTAAAATACAATTGTGTTCCATTATAATATTTCATCTGGGGTGTTAAAACACTGTACTCAAGCAAATGCAGTTTCAAAAATACTATAGCAACATCATTTCACAGTAAGCAAATGATGTAAAAAATTGCCCATTATGAGTACTTTAGTAATTACACTTTTGATGTCAAAATTGATAATCTTTACATTATCTGGGAAACAATTGTACTCTAAAAATGGTTTGTTCAGATATTTAAAAAATACATGTAATTACCTTTTCAGACTCCAAGGTAGTGAAATATTGCTGATACTATAAACACTAAGTTGGCAAATTTTCACAGTCTGCAATGGCCCAGTCTGCAAATATATATTCTCATAATTTAAATTGTATGTATATTATAACATGTGAGATCTTATAGAAATTTAGCACTGTAAAACAGAAGCTCAGAGGCCAGTCTATGGACCATGACCTTTAAACAAATAATTTTGGTAATAAATCTAGATTTAATAATCAGATAATTATTCACAGCATGTAAATGTAGTTTGAATAATAGTTTTATCAACATTACTTTATAATTATCAACCTTATTTTATAGAAACAATTTTTGCTTACTGCCACAATATATTTTGATTGTTTATAATAACCTTTTTTTGCATAAATGTATCTAAAAGTTGTTTACCTGAAACTTTTTACTATGATTCATTTGTATAATCTTCCTCCCTCAGTTCACTCTTAGTTCATTTACAACAACCAAACATTTCCACAATCTTGTCACATTTAGATAAATGTTTTCTTTGAAAATTCCAAAATATGTACACAACATTCAAAAACAAGATGTAATCTCCAAAATTTTTGCAAGATCCTTTGTGGTGGCATTCAATAAGCAGCTGACCCATATATCTGAGATTTCAAATTGTTCAACAGTTTAACTGGACGGACAGGTCCATCATTATGTGAAACAGGGATTATCCAAAAATATCAAAACAGTCCCACCATTTTATTTTTACATTTATTGAGTGTAAAAACATATCAAATGATAAGTAAATGTAGAATTTGAAAATCATAATAAGTTTTTGAAAGAGAATCAAAGTGTCAATTACCTTCTTAACTGATTGTTTTGAAATGTATACTGCTCAGACTACCTTAATAATCACATGGAACAGTCTGGTCAGTATACCAGAATGCCCCATCAGGAGATTAGTCATGCATCAGATAGAGGGAAACACAAGTGTTTATCTTTAGTCTTATCTGATCTTAACCTTTAGTGTCTGTAGTATTTATTTATCCTGACTTGTAAGAAATTATCAAGCACACAGTGGTTATTATATTTAACACATTAATTGTGCATGTATATAATGGGCAATAATGATTATATATGTGTTTATTGTACACAATCATAAACTAAATGGCAATAATTGATATACTAGTATATGTGTTTATTGTAACATAATAAAATAAGTGGCAGAGTAAAGTGTAAATAATCTAGATGTATGTCTACAAATTTCCAAACAAACTTGCTAGTAGATTATGTACTATTTTATATGGCATTTAAAACATAAATTAAAGTTTAAAATATCATTCTTAAATTATTTAACAATTAATTGCTTTAATGCTACCAAGAAATTAAAAATCTATAGATACACACTGCAGGGAAGAATTACTCATGTATTTAGATATGTAGTAATTTAATTAAATAGCATACAATTTACATTTTACTTCAGTATCTTTAGTAATGTAATAAGCTATGTGATATAGAAAATTAAATAAAATTTTGCATTAGATTTTAGCTCTTTTGAAAATTAATAATGTTTGACAAAATCTTTTTAAATAACAGATATAAATAACACTTCGATTATTTCACCAATTTTCTTTTAATTGTTGAATTTCCATTCTTGTGTACTGATTTAATGAAGTATTCAGTGAAAATTTCCAAACAAAAAAATTCTAAGTGTAAAAAAATTCCACCTCAAATGACTAAGATTGAAATTTGGCCCGACAGAAAAATCAAAGTTCTGAATTCCGCCCCATTCTATCTCAAGAAAATGTACAAGTACAAAATTCCGCCCATAATAAAATTCCGCCCGGAACGGTTCTTGTTTTACGCCCAGAAATGTTTTCCGTGTGGGGCGGACTGACACGGAATTTGCTTTTCCGTGCTTAGTCCGCCCAGAAAGCAATGATTCCATCCCAATTCCGTGCCATTTACGCCCAGAATCCGTGCCAAAATTTCGTACAGGCTATAGCCGGGCAAGTCAAAGCCGGGACCCGCGGTTTTTGACTTCCCCGTATTAATATGCTTTATCACACACCAGTGCCGATTTTGCCACTCAGTAAATATGGTATTGCACATCCATGCATATAATTTGACATGACCTCATTAGCGTTATAAAAACATTATGTAAAAATGGCTAAATGGTAGCGTTATACTATAGGCGTATAAATGAAAAACTACTCTTATTTCACTTTAAACAGTCTTTATTTTGTGTATGTGATACAGTAGGGTGAACGTTTCAGTTTACACGCAAAACGCACGTTGCGGAAAAAACGCATGCACGTTACATGCTATACGAACACACGTTACACGCACCCTTTATGAAACGAAATACGCAAACGCATGCAAAACGAAATACGCTACACGATATACGCACGCTTAAACGCACGCAAAATAGAAATCGTTTCTAAACGTTAATAAAATATCCTTATCATATAAATTTTTAACAACTTCTAAGCTAGATCGTTTAGTGATTTGATTAACCCTTTCACTGCCATAGGGACGGCTTAAGCCGTCCCTGTTATTTTCGGCGTATTTGCCATATGGACGGCTTTAGCCGTTTCTATAAAAATAATAGTTATAATAATAAATTAATATAATAATAAAAATAATAATGAATATAAAGAAAATTATACCATCAACAATAATTATTATTATACTAACAGATTTTGAAACATATAATATGAAAAAGGCAAAGCCTCAAAGCGAGCTCGATGTACTTTTAACGTGAAATAGTATGAAATAATAGCTCATTTTTAATTCAAATGCAGTGACGAGTGCGTGCGACGTCACACGTACTGTGTGAAAAATGGCTCCGCCCATGTCGTTAAATCAATAACAAGTTTTGAAAACGTTTCTTAAACTTTGTTTATTTTATTTCTCTCTATAATTTTCAAGCGAAAAAAAGATTATTATAAAAGTGAAATAAATGTAAAACTTAAAACGTTTGCGACATTAAGATAGCGTTATTGATTTGTTTGTTTTGCACGTGCTGTTTGGCGCTACATTGTGACGTCACGTAAACAATACTTTAAACGTCTGTACAGCGTTAACAACTGAATAAAAGATATTGGTGTTCGGATTCATTTTCTTAGTTAGACCATTTTCTTTCATTCTAGATAGATTTCACAACAAAATTCGACAAATTTTTTTTTATTTTTTATCAGATTTTTCAAACAAAATGGCGCCTTCAATTTTCAATTTTATACACTGTGAGCTTCCGTTATTCTGGTTCCCTGTCCAATTATGGTTCCCATAGACGTGTGCGGGTGACCAGTCTACACATCTGTTTTCAGTCAGAATTCCTTAGTTTTTATCGTTATCTTTAAATTCGAAAGGTTGCGATGTGTCCAATTCGGTACTTTGGACGAAAGTTTTCAAAACCATCACTTAGCAGGTACTCGCATTACCGTAAAGCTCGCTTTGCGAGCAGGCCCTTCGGGCCAGCTCGTCGAGCTCGCTATAATTATTATAATACTAATAACAAATAATAATAATTATATTAATTAATAATATAGTAATTTCTTAGAAAATCCTCTGGCAAATAGGTGAACAATAAAACAATAACCCTCTGGCAGGGAAAGGGTTAAATGATAGCTAGCCATTCATGTATTTTAAACGGGTTTATGTTAACTAACTTATCTTATGTCCCCTCATTAGTGAATAGTTCAGAGCTGTAAAAATGAAAAAATCAGTTTTACAGTATCTTTTTTGTGATTCCATATACCATGCCAGTAATGGTCCCCTGACAGGGAAGGGAACACTTCCTTACTGATAGTGGATCTGAACACCTCTGTCTGCATTATAGGACATTTGCCATACCTTTTTTTTTATTTTTCAATGAAATTTGGTGGATTTTTTCAATATCAATCAAACAGATGTAATTGTTACTCAATATTATAGTGATATGTTGCCTTACTAACTTGGTTTCATTTCCTAGGAGGTTATAATAAGGGAAAATTACCCCCATTTTTAAATATGTAATGTATTTGCTTGAACAAATAGGCATCATAGAAAATTTACCTTAGCTCTCTTCATTGTCAATATAATTTAATGGGGTTTTCTTATTTTAGTCAATTAGATGTAGTAGTTACTTGATAGTATAACATTATTTGGCTTTACTTACTTTGTTTCAGTGACCAAAAGGTTATAACAAGGTAAACTTACCCAAATTTTCAATGATTTAGTGTGGTAAAGCCCGTACGAAAAAGATAGCAGGATTCCGCCTAATATAAGCAGGAAAACGCTTAAAATTTCCGTGTATATAAGATTTTCCTGCTAATTTAAGACGGACACGGAATTTTGTAAAAAATCCTGCTAAGCAATTTCATATTCCGCCTAAGGCTTAGGCGGAAAATATGGGATGAGCAATAATTTAGACGGGTTTTAGGACTTAGAATTTTGTCAGTTATTTGTTAACAGGAATTATGTACTAAGACTTTTTTGTTAACCAGAAATTGAACTTAGAAAATTTTACTAGACATATTTCTGAATTTGGAGAAATTTCTGCAGATGACAGGTATATAATAAATCGATTATTAAGTGATCAACAATTATTTTGCTGCTTTTATTCATTGTTAATTTTCAAAACTAAAATATTGTTTGTACAAACATAAACATACATAATCATTAATTGATAAAAAAAACTCCACAACAAAACTAAAACTTAGAACATATTATATAATGATGTTGTGATGACTTTTGCATAGAATATATTTCACTGTGTTAAATTTGGGTATGAACTAAACTCATATATTAAGCTTTTTAATGTAATATAATTAAATGAGTAATATCCCTGAAAATTTCTTATCAACAGGATAAATAAATAAATACTGCCTCTAGTAACCACTCTACTATGATTTAACACCACAGACCTGATAACACACAGGTCAGATCGTAAATTCTGCTACAGTCCAGACTGTTCCATGTGATTCATTTGGGGGGAAGCAACAGTTACTTTGTACATTTTATATGATGAGTCTGTTAAGAAGGACTTTGCAAAGTTTTTTTTAAAGATATTTATTATGAATTTTGGAATCTTTTTCCATTTATTTTCTGGTATTTTTATATAATTGTGAAAATAAAACGATGGGTTGGATTATCCCTGTTTACCATCATATCATGGACTTGTCCATAATTTGAAATCTAGGAAATATGGGTCAGCAGAAGCTTAGACAGTGGAAATAAAGCAAATAACAAAGGATTTTATTGATAGTTAAAAATTGTGGTGATAATATATAAGCAATCTTTGAGATAATATTTTGTTTAAAGTGTAAGGATTGAATATTTTTGAATTTTTCAAAGGAAAAAAATAAGACTTAGCCTTGTGAATGAAAATGACAATAATCTGGATATGCTCAGTTGTAAATGAATTTTGAATGCTACATTATGACCTTGGATAAGAAGATAAATACCAATATCATAAAAATTCAGGTAAGTAACTTTTGGATACATTTAAACAATAAAAATATATTTCAAATAAATTAAATAATTTTGCATTAAGTTTGAGAGTAAATTTGTAACACTAAGTTTGGTTGTAATGAATTATAGTTTAAATGCATGTATAATTATAACTGCATACAATGACAAGAAACAATAATATAAGATATTAGTGGTGGCAGTGTTTTACTGATGACTGTTTGTGTTTCAGGATATGTCTCAAGCTGGTGTAAAAAGAATGGGAGGGGAGGAGTCACGGACAAGGATATTAACGATACCATAAGTTAAGCAGATCAGTTATGCTTGGAATAAAAATGAAAACAACTGGCTGAACAAAAAACATTTACAGTGAAATAAAATGAAATAATTTGCCATGGATTAAAACATTACATAATAGCAGTGCAATAAAAAATATAACTCGTGTTTCTGTTTTTTGTGTGACTCTTTTACGTACTGTACATGTACCCTAATGTAGAAAACATTATGGTAAAGCTCACAAAAATAACTTAAAAGCTTTGTAATTGTGATCACCTATTGTCTGTCTGCAATTTTGGATTCCAATTATTCTTATGCAGCTAAAAAATAATGTTGTATCCATCCATAATTCAGCTTTATTAGTGTACTATCACAAAATTGAATAACTTCATTTCCTTAGGCGGATTTTTTGCTAGTATTCCTTAGGAAGAATTTTCTCCTGCTAGTGATTTTCTAAGTAGGTATTTTTTTCCTGGTTAAAATATTTTAGGCGGATTTTTTTCCGGCTAAGAATTTTTCTAAGGCGGAATTTTCTCCTGCTAGTGCTTTCTTTAAGCTGAATTTTTTCCTGGTTAAATTTTCTAAGGAGGATTTTTTTCCTGC